TTCGTCTGACAAGCTTTCGTCTGACAAGCTTTCGTCTGACAAGCTTTAAATTTGCTTCCTTAGGCTCTTGATATTTCTCAATCGGCGCATCGTAGTCGTTCTTGCTCTGTTTCTATCTGCACGTAGGAAGTTGCCAGAGTCATAATTTCTTCGCTGATCCGGACTGCGTTGTTGCCTAGCATGCCGCTCTGCATGGCTTGAGTAAACAACTCCTGGCTGGGAAAGGAGCAAAGCAGAGGGTATTTCTTCACAAATTCTGCGTCACGCTCCTTACATCTCTCTACCAAAGATGCTTTTTGTTGAGGTCGTGAGATGCCAGTGCCTTGGGGATACCAAGGGTTAGTCTCTATTTTGGAACTGAGAGTGTGTGGTAAATTTTTATTATTTTTTTAAATTGTTTTAAAAATGAGGCAGTATAGAAGACAATTTGTCACAAATATAGATATGGGTAAATCGACGATGTCCGATCTAGTTGACAGGATAAATTTGTACGGTAGACAATATGTCACGAAATTGGGAGGGCTAGATTGACAATGTCGAATCTGGTTGATAAGATTGTCTACAAGGAGGGGAAGGGAACTCAAACATAGCTCCTGAAAATAATTTAAATTGTGTAAAGCTTAATCGCTTAAATATATCATATGATTACTGTCTTGTGTCTTGACAAGTATTGCCGATTCGATGAGTGTTTTCTATTCTATTGCTGGTGTGCCTACCGAAATTTTGGTGGTTATGACGGTTATTCGGGGAATTTTTGGCCCAATGACCTCTCTTTTAACAATGGAATCTTACATAACTGTGATTAATGTACGCCGAATCTGGAGGATGTTCGATGGCAGGGTATAACGACTGCTAAGCCTAAGGATTCCTGTAGCCTACGCTGGCTAGCGCAGGCAATGACACCAAGGGAATCTTCGGGGATCATCGGGAAGGATCTCGGAATAGACGGAGCTTAGAAGATTCTCAATGAACCTTCTTGAAGCATAGTGAATGTTCATGAGGATGACAGACATATCGAGAATCTTCTTGGGAATCTTCGAAGAATCCATATTATTCTAGTCATAGGGGGAAAAATGATTTGGCAATTAGTTCGTCAAAAGGTAGAAGTGCGCGAGAGATAGATAACATTATTTTTTCAAAGAAAACAGGTTATCTCGCCAGTACTCTTTAGCGACTCGTGCGAATGTGGCTTTATGTAGCCAGCTCCGAGCCGATTAATTATTTCCAAGTGCGTTTCGCTTGGCAAGCGAATCCCATATATTAAATTACGCGAATTTAAATCTCGTTAGTTTCCCACAATTTTCAAAGGGATTTTTTCCGGGATGCATTATTATTTTTTTTATTTTTTTAATCATTTAAGTGTATACAGCTATGGAGCTATGACATATGACCGGTGCTATGTATACATGTTGGATGACTCTTTTGACGTTAGAGACACTCATACTCTGGATTTCATTCGCAAATACCACTATGAGGTATGCTTGCTTACACAAACAGTCAACCCTCCTCCGTAAGCACCCACTAAAGGGACGTTTCAAAACCTTCGGTTATCCAAGCATGCCTTCGTCATCCATGCATACCAGCGCCGCGAGAAAAGTGGTTGTGTTTTGCTGGATTTGAACCAGCGATCTACTGTCTCAAGTGAGATATGTGTCCGAGCTATCCAGATTGTACCGGAGAACACCACCAGGAGGCGGACCACGACATCTTCCATCGTTTGCTTGTTTTTATAGTGTCAACTGCACTCTCGCAAGCGAAGTCTTGGCGCACACAGAGCCTAATTCGTAAAACTCCTTGACAAAATTCGGAATCTCACGCCGTTCGAGGTTAAATCCTTCCTTTGCATCATCTTGTAAACTTGTCCTGATCCCTCTCACGTCCATCCCAAAGAACTGTCTCCCAGATTTGTGCGCTACGCTTTGCTTCCTCCGTCGGGTAAAAATATCGGCGAGGGCGTTTATTTGGTGGTCAACTGAGGCCAGAGAAGTTCGAAGAGTGGTGTGGTCATTGGGATGAGGATGTACTAGGTCGTACTTGTAGACTTGATGAGGCTTAGGTAGGAATCGGACTCTCTGGGAGTGAAGATTTGACGTGGTGGAGTAGTTTGAATCATTGCCTCGTGGGCCAACTTGTTCGGTATTGCGAAATTTGACTGAACTTGGCTCTGGGAGAATATTTCACTCCCAGGTTCGCAGAGGACACCGCGTACAGGTGTTCAGTCTTGCCCTCCAACCCAATAATTCATAGGCTGTAGTATTGTAGAGGTAATTGGATATTTCCTTGGGGTACCAAGATTTTGCGACCACTGCTAGTCCTAGATTCTTATCGGTTATTTTAACGAGGTATGATTCGTCTCGTAGAAATCCCTGAGATTTTTGATCTCCGGATTTCTGAGATGTGCAGATTGTGGAAGTGAGGGAATCTGCCTGCGCAAAGATTCTCTCACAGCATCAATTGCTGCCTCGATCCTTGAATTGGCAAGTGGAGGTTCCCATCCAGGGTTTTTCACATGAAATGTTGGTACATGGTATGGGTTATCTGACTTGTCTCGAAATAGCCATCTGATTCTAATCGAGCGACACAGCTGTGTCATTGCATCATTTACAAGTTTAGGTTTCATTTGCGTGTGTAAGATGAATTTTCCATTCAAACTCAGCATTTGCATATACCCAGAGGATAATGTTACACCTGGAACCATGAATACACATGTTTTTTGAGCTCTAATGCTATCAACAAATTGTGTGGTTCCTGTGAGAATACTGAATCTTGTTTACACATGATCTGAACTTGTAAAGAATGCGTTTGGGTAGGATGAAAAACATTTAGGATTGAAACAACTATTCCTATATGCTAAGTCCAACAACTTGGTTAGTTTCCCTGAGGTTTCTTCCTCCCATTTGTTGGAAATATCGCGCAATAAAATGGGCGCAATATTCATGGAACGAAAGAATAAGTTGACTAAAAGTGTGTCATGTTCGGGTTAGAGCTAGAAGTGTGGAAAGTGTGCGCTACAAGTACAAGTGTAAGCGACGCGTAGCCTAAGCTAGAGGGCGAAAGCTTAACACCTGTCAGTGGTGTCCTCTACGAACCTGGGAGTAAAATATTCTCCCAGAGCCGAGATTCAGTCACGACAAAGGGTGGATTTGAGAGTTTTCGTCGAGTTGGCGATCGGGAGGAGTGTTGCTAGCTCATTTTTGGTCGAAAATCCGACTTGCAGAGATTTCACGACTGCACAGCTCAACAAAATCAACCATCTACACCCCAGGTACGAACCGCAGACAGACTATAACCTGTCTGATGTTCGTATCACAACGACCGACACCTTTGAGATCTTATTTTCTATTTCTCTGGAAAATCATTCCCAGCCAAACTCATCTCGTGGCCCTCTCCACAATCATCTCACCACCTACCTATGAAATCCCATACCTCCAAAAGCCAAATCGCCATCAAAGAAGAAAGAAGATGCCCGACCCTACACAACTGCCAGTCGCTGTGGAAGTACGGTCGAAATACCGGCCTTAGATGCGTCCTCACCTCGGCCAAGGGCACCAATAAGTCGACCTACCACGAATCGCCACCTACAAAATACGTACGATATTTCGCCGGCACACTAACTAGGGCGTTCGACAAATGCTGGGGCACCGGTGACTCGTTTTTGAGCTCTCAGTCGCGTTTTCGACCTCCACGGTTAGGGGTACGGCAGCGACGGGGCAAGGCCGGAGGGGTGGACATTCTACAAAGTTTCTGGGATGACGAGATCGGCTGAAGGATAGAGGGATGCTGTATGAAGGAACTAAAAGGGGATACAAACTTAGGAGGCATTGGTGGGCGACTGGATGAGGCCTCCAGTGAAGAAAACGACCCCTGGATGAGATGAGGAGATGCTGAGGTGAGCCAGAGCTGGGAATAAATGGAAGGGAAAAGTTACAGATGGCGAAGGTGTCAAGGGCTCGGGCGCATGATGGCCGAGGCTGAGGAGGAATTTGCGCTTCGGCGCGCCAAAAGGGGGTTCTCTGGACGGTTGAGCTTGGCATGATTCAACACATGGGTGAAGTCTGAGGTGGTCCGGTCATTCAGGTGGGACGAAGTAGATGTACTTAATGGTAATTAATGGTAATTAATGGTAGTGAACCTGATCCAGCCCGGCCCCACCCGTGTTTAAGCCCCAGTAGGAGTGCAACGGGAATCACTATACTTACCACGTAAATGAACAAAAAAAACGTAGCCTAAGCCACAGCATAAACGAGTGTGGCGCCATCTAGGCATAGAAACCCCCCAATAACCTCCTTGTGCCCACGCCATACAACCGCTCATATCTCCAACAAGTAGCCTGAAGCGCTACCCTTTTACTCATTCCAGCCTCTTAAATACACATAAGATCGTGTCGGGAACCTAGACGAAATGGAGGGCCCGTACGTCCACAACACTCTGTGTCTTCATTTCCATCAAAGTCCAGTGTTGTTCGCCGGTGCGACGCAGCATAGTTAAAATAAACTGTAAAACTTTTATTTGAAATTGGCTTCACATGACCTTGGTGCTTCTATAAACCTAATGATGTCCGGGTCATATCTACGCCCCCATAAACGAAAGAGGTATGGCCATTTGGATTCTTTGCATTCAAGATTTCTTGATAAATCTTTCTCTCATTCCTCCCGTAATCGGCCTACCCGATCTCTCTTGTCTAAAGCATGAGATGAGAATTCCACAACACATGACTCGTGTATGGCAGAGAAGAAGAAATTGCAATACGAGACTGAAGATGGGGCCGTCATTTGATTCTTATGGCACCTTATCACTCTCATCAGCTTATAATCTCGTTCCATACTCGTTTAAGACTAGCAAAAATCTCAAATCGCCTTGATTAGATTCTCTCCCTTGAAGTCCCATACCCCGAGGCAAATACACACGATTGGGTCCAGACTTGTCAAAGGCCACCGACACATCGAAACCACAGTGGATCATACAACAGAGCTCGATAAAGTATTCTCAGATTTGCGCCAATGGTCTGCCTTCTCGCAATTCTTTTATACACAGGCCAGAGATTAGCGGAAAAGGACCGTTTGCTCATCACGACCTTAGAGTACAACAAGCCTAATTACCACATCTATAAAGCTAATCTTGAGCAACCATTCCCGGTGCCTGGCCGAGGCTCTGGTATCTACAGAACTTTGGTGAATGTTGACGAGCCCGGCACTTATGTAACGGTTTATTGCTCTATTAAAGCGCCAATCGATGATTTACGAAGGTTTGTCAGTAAAGGCTTAAAAAGCTTGCCGAGCCGCGTCGATAGAAGATTTGATAATGATGAGAAGTCGGAAAATGAATGCTTCAACCATGTGAACAACCTCCATCTTAAATCCAATGGAAAAGCTGCAAAAGATGGAGCTCGAGTAATTCAAGTACAAGATCCAAATCCATTGCCTGTCTCGCATCTCATCAAGTCACATCAATGCACCAAAAGACTCTTAATCAGTTTGGCCTATCTAAGGAGAGTTTTGTGTGCTCATGGGCACGGATTCTTGACGACGTATAGCGATGAAAATCTACCAACCATAAAATTTGATGAGCCAGTGGAAATAGCAGACGCAATATTTGACGGTCAGTTTGTTATTCAACTGAGTAAAGACGGCATCCAAGACGTCTTGGCATGGAGCCAAGGCCAACTACAAAGTTTCAAGCGATATGATTCATCTAGCGACTGGAAATTACTTACTTTCACTGGTAACGAGCCATATTCAGGATGGCGCATAACCGAGTCAATTAAATCCAATAACGCGCAAGTAAGAAAATTTATGAATGAATTCGCCAAACTAGAAAATACCAAATCAGTTGGTTTAGATTGTCTTATGATCCTGTTCGAAGCTTCCGTTATACCCAAATTATGCCGCGATTACAAACTTGAACATTTACAAGTAAGCGTGAATAGACTTGATCCGATACCAGCAGAGGGTAATATTGATCGTATTATTATAAGAAAACCCATTGAAGAGGATGAAAGAAGATTTATTGGACAAATCTCATGAAGAATAGATGAAAATGATGGAGGTTGCGGAAGGTTCATCTTGCCTTACTAATTTTCTTTGCTGAGGATGAAAGTACTTTGTGTGTTTTCATTAATTTGTCTCATTTGGATATAGAGGTCCATTACTCTATGATGGTCTTCATGTCATGTCAATATAATGAGAAAGTCCTACGCCGGGTAAAAACCAAAGATCTACTCAATACGATAGGACCACATCCTCATAGAAAGGGCGCGGGAGCTCTGATCTGAATCCTAATAGCGGTTCAATAATATAATGAGATATTCATAATTAATTCCAGTTAATTTGAGAGTACCTTTTAGCATACTACAAGCTGTAAAAAATGACAAATAATTTCTCATGTCCTTTTCGAATTATCAAGGCATTACGGGGAAAAAACATCATTTTTGCCAGAAAGCTGCGCAGCCTTCCACGCTGCCCGTATCATCAATTTGACATCGTGATTCTTATTTTTACATCTTTATTACCCTCCTCTCATCTTTTCGCTTTCCGTGCTCCAACATGGCGAGTGTGGGTGCTGGTGTGGGTAAATCCAGCGGTTTCGACGCGTCGCAAAATGCGACAATGGCACAATCAAACAACGGCAGCGGAGCGCAAACAGCTCCAAAGGATAAGAACCTTGAAATCCTAGGGAAACTATTAAAAAAGGTCAGACTAACCCTGATGGGAGAGGTGGATGAGGAGGACTTACCCTCAATGGAGGACGTGAACGAGGCCGTCAAGGCCTTCAACGCGCACAAAAGGGCCTGGACAGAAATGACGCAGAAGAAGTCTCCTATCGAGGAGAGGATGATGGCGCTCGAGGAGGTTGTCAAAAAGAGCCTCGCGGATCCTGCTCGAAAAGCTGCACCAGCAGTGGTTTCGGGCGCGCCGACACAAAGGAGCTACGCGTCGGTCGTGGCTCCGCAAATGACGAAAACAGCGGTTAGGATAAGAATCGATGGCGCACAAAACCTGCAGCCACAAGAGCTGCTGTCAAAGGCACAACAACACATCGAAGGCGCATTTGCAATTCGACAGATGCGAAGCAACGACACCGAGGTGTTTGTCCAGTCGGCGTCCTAGAGAGACGCGGCGCTTAATATGCGGCAACCAACGGATTTTAAAATTTTGCGGCATGACTTTCCAGTTGAGGTTTCCGGAGTCCCACTGCGGACAAGAATTGAGGGTGGCAGAGATGCCAACAACTACGCCATCATCAGGGAGATTGAGACGGCGACCAAGGCACGTATTCCAGGCCTGGTTATTAGCAGAATACGATGGCTACATGATGGAAAGGAACATCAGCGATCGAAGAAAAACGGTCGCAATCGTGGTTCAATAGTGGTAAGCTTCCCATCGGAGGCAATGCAAACGGAGGTAGTGCGACAGGGCCTTGTTATCAACGCCATGCTCTTCACCGCGCAGGTATGGTCACCACGGGCTCAGCCAAAGCAGTGTTACAACTGCAGCCAATGGGGACACACGCAGGCGTCGTGTGGAAAGGCAGCCAGGTGCGGTGAGTGCGCTGGCGCTCACCAAACTCGGGACTGTCCGAGGAAAAGGGTTTCTTGTGCCAACTGCGGCAAGGAACATCGTTCATGGCAGAAAGCAGCGTGTCGGACCTACCAGGTTTACAAGGGTAGTGTGGAGAAGGCTCGGATGGAGCTGTTATCGAGGACGGCAGAAATTTGGAATGAAAAACCAACAATGGCGCCAATGCGAACAGTCGGAACGACTGATGATCAGGGATTTACTTTGGTCACCAGTAAAAAGGCTGAAGTACTCAAAAGAGGGCCAGGACGACCGCGTAAGGTAGTCGAAGCACCAGTGGCACCAACAATCCCCGCCACAACAGCACCACCATCGGGGCCAACTCTTCGAACACTTCGAAGACCAACGCCGAGTGAGGAGGTGCCTTCTCTTTTCAATTTTTCATAACGTTAGTCTGATCGAAGGGGGAGTTAACGAATTTTGGGGAAAGTTTATAAAATTGCGGTTGAAAGGAACGTCCTCAGCATAAAGCCGGGTCGGTTCAAAGTGGCAGGACATCGGGTTTTGTTTGTTGAAAGCTTTTTCCCTTACCAAAGCGGCTTACCGTCTTCATGGTTCTGTATATAGATACCGCATAGGACGTTAAACTAGATCAATGAAGGCATTACGGCGATTCAGTCAAAATTTTGATTTAAAATTTATTACATGCTCATTCTGGCCAGGTAATATACGGGGAAATTAGACTGCATGCTAGTCAGCCGTGACCATCATTGATCTGGGCGTCCGTGGTGGACAAATCATGCATCAGTCCCGCACCTGGTCCCTGAATTTTGAGCCAGGAAAAATTGGCGGTAGTTTGGAAAGTGCGTTCAGAAATGATAGACTATTGCGAGATATGATTCTAGATAGTCTAGGATAGGCGTTGATAAATCAATTTGAAAGTGGTAAAAATTTGTATTGTTAGGTAATTGAATTTATTCTTATTTATCGTCCCATCCAGTATCTACCGCACAGGTCCACAAAGATGGTAAGCCGTGATATGAAGGGAAAAAGCTTTCAAGTTACATAACCTGTAGCTCCGCTACAATCTCACGTCCCAGCGTCATGACGACGATATATTTTTGTTCCATTAATTTCAGTATCACTGCAAATTCATCTCCTGTAACACCGTAGATTCATTGCAGACAAAGTACGGAGGAATCTTTTCACCATCCTCTTCTGCCCTCCTTGCCGTTCGAGTGTTTGGAGCTGCCGGCGTCATAGATGTCAATGTGTTTACTACGGCTGTTGAATCAGCAATTATCTTACGTATTCGCCCTGGCCTCATCTTTTGTGGGTCAACTCTTCTGCTGGCGATTAGAGTGAATCCTGGATGATTAATTGTTGTTGACACCTTTGGTACCGCAGTTGTTGGCATAGCCTCGTCGAATATCCGCCGTTCTTTTTTTTTTGCATCAGATTTTAATTGCGTATGCAGCTATCTAGCTATGACACAATATCAAAGAAAAGTACAGAATATATGATTCAATGTAAGGGAAGAGCACTCATGACTTGGATTTCAGTTGAAAGTACCACTACGAAATTATGGCGGCTTTTTCTTCACCCCAAGTCAACCCTCATCAGTGAATACTCACTCAGGGGAACGTCTCAAAACCCCCGAGTTTACAAACATGCCTCCATCATCTTTCAACTTTTCTCCGCGCAAAATGTGGTCTTAGGTATCACCTTCCCAAGTAGAGTAGGTGCCCAGGCTACTCAGACTATGCCGGAGAACACCACCAGAAGGCGGACCACAACACCTTCCATCGTTGGCTTGTGTTTATAGTGTCAGCTGCACTCTCGCAAGCGAAGTCCTGGCGCGCACAAAGTTCAATTCGTAAACCCCCTTGCCAAAATTCGGAATTTCACGCCCGTCGAGAATGTATACCTCTTCTGCGTCATCTTGTAAACTTGTCCTGATCCCTCTCACGTCCATCCCAAAGAACTGTCTCCCAGATTTGTGCGCCACGCTTTGCTGTTGTAAGGGTAAGAGCTTATGGAGGTTAATTGGCAGAAGGTTTACGGATGATTCTCGATGAATCAATGTGAACTGCTGATATATTTGATATTCAGAACTATGAAGATTTAGGAGGTTTAAAGCGCTAATTATATACACATCTGAGGTAGCTAGACTCTCGTCTCATCTACCCAAAATAGTATCACGGAATATTCTAGTCTCCTCCATCTGGCAGTACAATCTAGAAACACTTTCTATACAGTGCTCCATTGTTCCTCTACTCATCATGGAGCTGTTGTAATTCTAACAGTCCTACATCTGTTACACTAGTCATGTACTATCTCGTTTTCGTTTCCGTTATTCGTATCATTTAATACTGCGCCATATCTATTTTCTGTAATATTAATTAGTCTTGGCGCTTAACACAAGATATGTTGGAAATCATGGTATATGCATGATTCTGTCTTACACTCAGCTAGCTTGGGAGTCTACTGGTGGTCAAGACATACCTTCACCATGATAATGTCGCCATACTGGGACATGGGCGCATATCCTGGCTTATTTCTAAATTCGTCTCAGTAGGACTAATTCCTGTATATACATGTAGTGTTCTTCTCCTTCAGAGATCCTCAGTTCATTACATTTACTGAATACCTCTGAAGGTCTATTCATATCCTCTTCGTGTCACTCTACCAAGCTTCACCCTTAAGCTCTATTCAACTGCTTTGTTGTTCGGCATATATCCTTCACCTCCCTATACCATTCCAGCATTCCTCTACGATCCATAACCTCACAATAGGAGCCACCTGGAAAGTTCTTCCTTCACCCTCAGTGATCATTACCCTTGTGTATCGTAATCCTTGGCATCACCAGCACAACATTTGCCTCCTCAGTCGGGTATAAATATCGGCGTGGGCGTGTATTTGGTGGTCAACTGAGGCCAAAGAAGTTCGAAGAGTGGTGTGGTCATTGGGATGAGGATGTACTTAGTCATACTTGTAGGCTTGATGAGGCTTGGGTAGGAGTCAAACTCGTTGGGAGCGAAAAATCGGCGTGGAGTAATTTGGATTTATCTCCGACGTTCACATCGAGAGCTCGGAGCGGGCTCTCGAACATATCCCTTGTCAGCTTGAAAAGTCCGAGACACTGCCTGTCGATACAGAGGTGAATGGCGTAGGGATCAAAGGCTTGTCTTAAATGTTAACTTCAATTATTCATTGGTGCTTAATGGTTCACGCTCACCAAACTTTCGGAAATCGGCTTTTCTGTCACAACTTCCGCCTGTAACTAGGTTAACTACCATGAGGTCGGTTTTCGGTTCCGCCTTACCATCAGCTTTCTATTGATATAATTTTCAACATTTGCATCCGCTAATTCCGACAATTCTCGGCAAAATCTCGATTTTTCAGATCTCTTGGAACCCTTTTTTTTTGCCCCAGCCTTGCCAAGGCTCGTCGCGTGACGCGCGACGTGCGACGCGTTTTAGACGCGAAATCAGGTGAAAAATCATCAAGGCATGTCACGTGTAATCTTATTTGTTAGGATGAAAAAAGAGCCATTGGATCTCTAAGACTTTATATATGTGTGTGTTTGTTTATTGTACTACTTGAGTCTATGATTATCTAGCTCATTGGGCCCCTCTCTGACCCAGGCCACACCTTGTACAGTGCTCCTATCCTCTTTTGTTACTTGAAAGATCATTGATATATTGCCCTTGATGAATAGCCATTTAGCTCAGTGTTTACCTCTGGAATTCGGCCACTTTTTCCACGGAATCTTCCACCCCAAAAATATAAAATGGTTGCGATGCAAACTGCATGCGCGGGAAAAAGTCTCAAAAAACCTGCAGCCCTGGACAGGTGAGGCCTAGACACCGGAAGCACATGAGGTGCGTGTTAACATTTCTATCTTGATATAGACCCGTAAAAACATACCGTATAATAGTAACTTATATAGATACTCAGGATTGCGATGGATAGCAGAAATTGATGGTGTTTATGGCAGTCTGGGATCTGGTAATTGTTGACAGGGATATGACACGTGTATAGATATATCGCGCACTTGACTCCTCTTTAATACGATGATGCTTCCGACTTCATTCACAATGCCCATACCTACTCTGGGCTAATCATCTCTTACTATATTGGTCATATCTTCCAAATTGATGCCTTTTCGCCCTTTTATCTTATACGACAGGTCATGATATTCTTCGTCTTGCTGGCCATCATCAAGCTCAGAGTTATGGACAGATTAAATCTTTAACAGTGCGCATATTCATCTACATCTTCCCTCTTTGTAAAATTCGAGGCCAACTTGATCCTATCCACCACCGCCGTATCGGGTGCTGGGTACGCTCCGGAAACCCATCGGATGGCTTTGTCTCCATGGTCAAGGGTGGTTAGTTTCATGATTATGGTGGTAGGTTGTTGTGCTGAGAGATGAAGATGATACAGATCGCGGAAGCAATTAGGATTTTCATCAAAGTGAGCACAGTGATATTCAAACTTGGCTCTGCAGACTCTACAGTGAGAACTGGAGGTTCGTGGGGAGTACCTCTGACAGGTGTTGAGTTTTCGTCTCCTAGAATGGATGTGTAGTCATGAAAATGAGGATGGACTACGTCGTGCTTGAAGACTAGACAAGACATTCATCACAATCGATCTTGTAGGAAGTCCTTGATCAATGTCGTATACAGTCTTTAATCATTGTCTTATGAACCACATAGCTCGGTATTACGAGGTTTGATATGACGTTACTCAGGGACTATATTTCACTTTCGTGTTTATATGGAAATCTTCTTACGGCAATGATGTTCATCCTATATCCTTGGCTCATTTATGAACGGCACATAGTTATTTATTTGAAATGATCAAATATGAACTTCATGCTTCTGCAAACTTATTGTTATCCGGAACATATCTACTCCCTCATAGAGGAAACAGATATGGTCATATTGATTTCTTGATGAAACTTACTCTCATCCCTCCGTCACTGGCTTGTCCGATCTTTCTCTTGTCTAAGCCATGAGTTGAGAAATCCAGAACACATGACTCGTGTATGGCGGGGATGAAGAAACTGCAACTACTAGACTGGACGTATAGCTAACTCTGATTCTCACAGCATCTAGTCACACCCATCGTCTCATGGACTAATTACGTTTGCACAATCAAACAGCATGAATCTTGAGTTCCCTTTATCTGCTCTTCTCCATCAAAGCATCGCTTTATAAGTTAAATACAAGCGACAAGCCATCTACTTCTAGAGGATCATCGACGCACCAGGAACTCGGCAAATAATTGGCAACTGGTCTTCAAAAAATTCTTGGATTTCTCCTCATGTCCTGTCTTCTCGCAATTCTTTTATACACGGGCCACAAGTTGCCGCAAAAGGACCGTTTTGTCATCACCACCTCAGAGTATAACCATCCTTCTTACTACAACTTCCAAGTTAATCATGAGCAACCGTTTCCTGTGCCTGACTGGAACTCTGGTATTTACAGTACTTTGGTCAATATTGAAGAGCCCGGTACCTATATAACAGTATACTGCTCCAACACGGCATCAACCAATGATCTACGGGGATTTGTCAGTAAAGGCTTGACCAACCTGCAGGGCCGCATCGATAGAGGATTTAGCAACAAAGAGGGGGCAGAAGATGAATGCTTCTAGTATGTGAACAGTCGTTATTTTGAATCAAAGAGAAATTCTATAGAAGGTGGAGCTCGAGGGATTCATGTTCAAGATCCAGATCCATTGCCTGTATCGCATCTCATCAAGTCAAATCAATGCACCAAAAGACTCTTAATCAGTTTGGCCTATCAACGGAGAATTTTATGCGCTCATCTGCACGGATTTATTTCAATGTTCGAAGATAAAAGACTACCGATAATCATATTTGATATGCCAGTGGAAATTGCAAATGCTGTCCTGAACGGTTATTTTGTCATGGAACGCGAGGATGAAAGTAGTCAACAAGTCTTGGCATGGAATCAAGGCCAACTGCAAATTTTTACGCGACAGCATCACTCTAAGAGCTGGAATAAGCAGACCCAGGATGGTGATCAGTCATATTCAGGATGGATGATTACTGATTTGATTCAACGTAGTAACGAGCAAGTAAAAAACTTTATGGACCACTTCACCAGCAAGAAAAGTTTAGAAGTAATCGTGCCAAGTTGTCTCGGGGCTGAGGATAAATATCTCCCTATACCTAATATCTGTCGCGGGTTGAAGCGCAGAATACGAAGAGTTAGAATTGATAAACTTAAACCGACACGGGCGCATGGTTATATTGATTGGGTCAAGATAAGATAGTCGTCAAAATATACCAAATATCTTAAGGAATTTATGGCCCCTCAGTCATTGAAGTTGTAGATTGCATTGATTCAAGTAACTACCGAAGTAAAACTAAAGGCTTTGTAGTCATGTGTGTGCTAATAGCGTGGCCTACCTGATAGTTCCAATTATTCCAACTTCTAAAAAACATACCAAATATAATTTCACAAAGTTACTTCAAAAAGGATTAAAGGAAAGACTGAAGATTGTATAAGGCTAATCATACGCATACCATTTGCTGAGGATAGTAGCACACGAGAATTTCTCATTAGTGAGCTCTATTCGGATTTGGAGGTTCATAACTCTTATGGAATCCACATGTCATAGTGTGAAAGACTAAGGACATACTCGCACAATTATATCTATTTTCTACATGGTTTATCAAATTTACTAATTAAACAATGGTTATAACAGTTGTTGTGTTACAGGAGTGGAATGATAGAGTAGCAGCAAAGTTATCCTTTGAGACCTTGTGTTATGGCCAGGCATCCTTGAAGAAGGTTCAAGGAGAAGGTTCCCAGGAACACCCTGACAATGGGAGATGGAGGTGCTCACCATGACCTAATCTTCCAAAGTCTCAGTTCAAATCTTGCACGTAGCTAGTTGTACTTAAGGAAGCTAAATTTACCCCAAAAGTAGTCCTATAGCTTCTCAATCTTAAATTCTCAAAGCCTCACAGTCTCTAGTATTGTACTACTTGTCTCGATCTCTCGATCTTCAGTTCCGCCCTCTTACGTCTCGCCAGCTCAGTCTAAGATCCCTAACCTCACCCGATTATATCCTCTTGTACTTACTCGCCTAGTCATTACCAGGATACCTTCAGCAGACGGCAAATCCCACTTCTTTCACCACGCGCCATAAAACCTTGTTTACTATGGCTACTATGATGTATCTACGGACCAAGAGATTAACCTATTAATGCTCAAACACTTAACTTTCATCCTCTGTTGACATCGTCTCTTGCCCTAACTGTGTCCATAGCTGCATTTTCATACCTTTTCTATTGCTTACCTCAACGCTCTTGGGCATATAGAGGTCTGCTCAGCCCAGCTGGCCGGCCTACAGGCAGAAAGGAACTATATGTCTTTGTATAGTCATAGAATCATTAGGACAATTCACACACTCACTCTATGGCTTGCCTCACCATACACAAGTCGCACTACTGGTTTATTCGCCCCATGCTACTTGCCATTATAAATAGGGTATTACCCTCAATATCTATGAGTACTTATTACTCATCAAGATTCAGTTTTCATTTATATTTAAAAATTATTCATATAGTTTTAGCAGCCTTCCATATTACTAATTTATTCATGTCCTCTCTTTTGAAATGTATAAACCAGTACTTGGCTCGTGGACTTATTGGTAGAGGGAAGCTTATGCAATAATGAAGGATAAAAAGATGTCAATTGGACTACTCTTCTAAACACAGGTATCAGAATTCTTTTAATCCCAATAGACAGCCCGTGCGGGATATCCCATTAACAGCAGTAAACAACGCTAACACAGGGTATACGCAATCTCCGTTCGCCAAACACAAGTCGGTTGGGACTACTTATCATCGAGCCTAGTAGGATCGACAAAGTGTATCCCAATACAGAAATAATACGAAACTCGACAACCACACCCTTCATCAATAACTGCCATTATCCGTCACCCGACTTATCTCTGTACTCCAAAATTTCAACACTCTCTGAGTAAGCTAAGTAGTCCTAAGTTGTCCTGTACTGTTACAGACTCAGTAGGGACTTCAATTTAACTCAGATTCAACTACTTCTAGTCATCCTCAACTTTGACATAATCGATAGAGAGAGCAATTTACGATGTATAAATCAAAGATTTACTCAATTCGACTTAGAAAAATCTCGAAAATAACGGATGCGTGAGCTCTAGCCTGAGTCCTATTATGGTGAAACTGTATTACGAGACATATATAATGAATTTCAGTCAATATAACGGTACCATGTACCATACTATCCGCTATACATAATGACAATGCTATGTTTCGGGGCTTATTTCGCATTATCTATGGATGAAGGCGATTAACTCAAGTTTGCATTTGAAGTTTATCACACTCTCATTCTGGTCAGGTAAGTTCTCGGAGAAAGGAGAGTGCATGCTAGTCAGTCGTGGCCTTTTTGTGACGATTCGTCGCGATGCTAATGATGAGGGTGGCCAGCGGCATAAAGGCGATGTTCCCCGCCGATTCAATCTTGTTACCCACATTCTTTGTATATAGCTTGGGGCAGGTCCCCGCCTTTCACAGTCACTTTCTTCTCTCTTTACCTTAATACTCTAAGGATTAATTGAAGTACTTCCACACGTCGATATTAACACACTTGGTAGATCTGCTCGTCAATTACTGGAAAATCACGCTGCAGCGCCGCACTTGGTCCATGAAGTCTGAGTTTCAGGCCTCCATCCGTATCGGTACTTTGTGGCCATCACGGCTCGATTGAAAGCAGAGGTTAGTTACTGTAACAGCTTTTAAGCCTAGGCTTTCCTGTAGCTTACGCTGGCTAGCGCAGTCAATGAGACCAAGGGAATCTTTGGGAAGGATCTCGAAAGACACGGGGCTCAGGTGTGACGGCTTGTGGGCCGATAAGTCCTGTAGCCTTCGATGGCTATCAAAGGCAACCTATATTCTCTATCACTCCGAGGATTATCGGCAGACGAAAACTGATACGAGATCACCACTGAGGCTACGTAAAGGATAGTGCCAAGAGCATCGGAAGCGTTACCAGTGTGGCAGAACAAACCTTGAGTCAGTTTCATTGCCACTGTAAACGTAGGCTAGATTTAGATACCTCTGCATGTGTATACGTAGCAGAGGAGACTTGCAGGTAGCTTGCTTCTACATAGATGAATTATAGCTTTACCTTTCAATCATACAAATGCCCATTAGCTTTCTATATTCGAACTGTGACATCAGAAGATCCACAATGATCCTTCTGGAGGCATACTGAAGGTTCACGAGGATGACAGGTGTACCGAGAGTCGTCTAAGATTCCAATCCACTCTCTTCGTCGCGGGAGCCTTAATGAACGGGGGTGTTTTTGCATAAATATAAATATGTAACTGTAGTCTAGACGCAGGATTTTCCTTCCTAGAGAATTAATAATCACAAACATGTTACTTCGACTATTTTGTCATTTATTAAAATATCTAGAGTGTACGTTCTTCCCTTGTACCCGCTTCTCGCATGTTCCACTGAAAGTTATTCCAGATCTTGCTACCAATAACTCGAATCTTTTAGTTATGACTAGACTGATCTGGAAAAAGTAACGACTATTAGAATGTGATTCCTCCAGACGGGTACTACAGTAGTACTGCAAGCAGAATTTATAAAGTGTAGGGTTGACAGAGCGTGTATGATTCTCGCTCGCTCAGCGTTCTAGGAAAAATGCTGCGACTGTGCTCCTACTAATATGTGTCTACCAGCCTCGCCTACAAGCTAATATGAAACTACTAATAAAGGGTATCTAAGATCTCCAAACGCCTTACCCATTTTACTCTTAGGTAAACACTAATCACAACCATAACTCCATTATGTTAAGGCACAGGGAAGATTATGTTTGACCAACAATCTTATAGTTTAACATAGACTACTGAAGCATTACGCTGACACGTGATTACAGTCACGTGTCACGGGAAAAATCGGCTCACGAATAGTTGCACTGCCAACAACGCATTCGCCGTGGCCCAGATTGAAAGACTATTGGTCTGGTTGATGGATAACTTTCAACTTAAAGTGGACAACGATCCTGTCTGCTAGGGCTGGATGGTGCTGTAGTATCTGGTGATGAAATCAAAACGCGACTGTTTTTTTTTATTGTCCTGTCTTAGTCTATGACTATGTAAGACATGCAGGTCCTCTCTGCCTACTGGCCAAGAATACCTATACCAGTAGTAAATCCCCTCCTATGCCTCCCATACAGCTCCCCTCAAACAGTACTGCCCCTCACAATTCCTCATTCGATCATACACCCAGAGGAGCCCTTTGCCCTTCATCATCTCCCCTCTCCAGCCAACAAAACGATGACCATTTGCGGGTGTATGGCAGCCGGGAAAAATCGCAAAAACCACTGGGTGCGGGGCTCCCCCAATACCGACATTAGGACTAAATCCGAAGACATATTGATCCTTCTGAAGCGTTCAAAGAGGCCAGCCAGCTGGGCGCTGCAGACTTGTGGGTACCTCGGGAAATCCACTCTCTGCCTTTCTAGCCTCCTTCCAACTCCTTCCCGAAGGTCGTGCTGAAATGTCAGAAACGTCTTGACAGAGCGTGATTGCTGTATATTTGCTTAGCCCAACTTATTTCGTGCCGTCCAGGGCGCTGGGGAGTGCCGTTGACTCATCGACAGAAGAAGCTCTCCTGGCTAATTAGCCGAAGTCTTGGTCTTGGCGCCCACAAAAAATCCAAAGTTGAAAACTCCTCGAAAATGTCTGCCTCAGAATGCTCTTTAGAGTCCTGTTCCCCCTCTCGTTCCACTTCTCAGCCGCCTGTTCTCCCTCAAGTTGTTTTTCTCATTAGAGCAACAGTCCCCCATAAGCCAGGACCCAGGCTTTCTGAATCATGCCTTGATTTCCTCCTTCCGGGTATAGACAGCGTCGTAAATTTGTAGTGAGTGATGGCCGGTAATAATTGAGGCAAGCTCCTGTTTGCAATTGGGGTGACGCCTTTATCGGTCGTTGAGGCGAGATGGTGTGTGGTTGGAAAGAGGTTAATGACTCAGAGGATAATGGTGAGTGCTGCATGATTGAGAAGTTTCAAATGGAGACATGCATGCGTTTGCTTTCGACTTCGATTCGGTTGCGATTCTTCTTGGCTATCCTAGATATGCAGAGCATACTGAGCGATTACACCGGCAGCACTGGAAGGTGAAGAATTCGTCTTTGCCGGCAGAGTGCGAGTGTTCTGAGCGTCAAATTGCGTCTTCCCACCTATTGTGCATATCTTCCGATAAAACCTGCAAGGC